TTTTGCCCCTTTTGCTTTTCCCTTCCTTCCTTTTTTCCACTCCCCTAAACCAGTTGCCTGGACATCTCCTAGGCTCCATCTGTGAAAGCTTTTCTTAGCCCACATGTCCAGGACCTCATCGTCGGATGGAATATTTCCCCCACGGACTCTTGGGTCTTTTCTTTCCTAGTTCATTCTGTCCTGTTACAGGGAAGACCTGACTGGATAATTTATAAGCGCAGAGGTTTATTTCTTACAGTTCTGAAGCCTGGCATGTCCAGGACTAAGAAGGAGTGTGCCGGTGAGGGCCTCCTTGCTGCACCATAACAGCAAAAGGCATCACGGGGAGAGAATGAGTGTGAACAGAGGGCGGAGGGGCCAAACGCCTGTGTTCAGCAGGAACCCAGGCCTGCAGTAGCCGGCCCACTCCCGCGAGTGCTGCACTGCTCCGCTAGTGAGTGCAGAGCCCTCTGCACCTGCTCTTCATCCGAAGGGCCCCACCTCGGGTCACTGGGGACTCAGCTTCTAACACAAGCCTTTTGGAGGACCCTTTATAACAGAGTAGGCCCCCTTTTCTGGCATCTACTTTCTTGTATGGTAGGAAAGGAGGATTTATTAGCTCCATCCATGCTAGGGCCAAGCATATTTTTAAAATTTTTTTGTCTTTTTGAGACAGGGTCTCGCTATGCAGTTAGGCTGGCCTTGAACTCACTTACCTAGCCCAGGCTGGCCTCAAACTCGCAATGATCCCCCTGCCTCAGCCTCCCAAGTGCTGGGATTACAGGCATGTGCTACTGCGCCCAGCATGGCCAGGCAGATTTATGTGAAGCAGGGAAAGCATGTACTTGTAAAGAGTAATGGTTAGAGCACCGTTACGGCTCTACCCAGTCATCACGATCTTACTACTTAGTGAGGTTCAGAGCTAAAAGATTTCTCAGTTAAGGAGGAAATGTAATTATGTCCTACCGGAAACCTGTACTAAAAAATAAATAAATTCTTAATAATAAATTTGAAAAAAGGGAAGGAAATGTATTTCCTGATCCTGGAGGGAATGTCGCAGTGAACGGAATCTCTAAAGAGAGTTGGTCTGAGCGCTCATAAAGGGCTGCTCCTCTTACCTCCTCCCAGATGGTCTTGCAGCACTGCCTATTACCCCCACACAAGGACTCCACGGTGAAGCTCCATGGTGCATCACCTGTGGTTGTGTCCTGAGCCTCCCAGCTGGGACTTCAGAGCCAGGACACAGCTCAGAGGCGTCTGCCCCCAAGCTCATGTTTTGCATTTCCCTGCACCTGGGCCTGGGGAGCCTCAGGTGTCCACTGGACAGAATCCCTGGCCTTCAGGGCACATTCAAGGCTGTCTTCCCAGGCACCTGCTTCCCCATCACACATAGAACTAGAGCAGAGCCCTTTGTCTCCTGAGCCTGGAGCAGGAATTGGAGCAGAGCTCTGAGTTACTCTTCCCCTCTGTGGGGGCAAAGAGTTTCCTTCTCTTTTTTAGGGGAAAAGAATGTGAGTGTGTTTCAAATTCTTGTGTGTTCCTCGTAGCTCATGGAGGGGGTAACTTGAAATAGGGGGCAGGAATGGAGGGGTGAGTGACAGAAACTACTTGATTTTGACAATCTTCCCTCTCTTTTTACTCTGTGAATCTCTTCCCAATCTCTGGTGCTTTCCTGGTCTGAGGAACCCCCTCAACCCTACCCATATTCTAGGCTTGAAGTTTCTCAGCCATGAAAAATCAGAGCTGGAAAACAAAGATACAGTATTAAGGTTGGAACAGGAGGCTCAGGAGAGGGCTGGAATTTCTGTGTGTCTATGGACACAGGCTGGGAATCGAATTTTCCATGCTCTCTCTAGAAAACCAGAGACTCCGCCCCAGAGTTCAGGCCCAATGCTTCAGCATTCACTTACCAAAGACGATGATATTCTTGAGTGTGGTCCTACTGAGGTGTGTGGCAGAATTATGGACGAGGCAGGTATAGTACCCGCTATTGCTTTTGGTGATTTGGGGGATGACAAACTCCTGCGTAGACTTCAAGATCCTCCCATTGAAAAGCCAGGTAAACTTTGCAGGTGGTTTAGAGGCTGTGTGGCAGGAGAGGCGGAGGCTTATCCCTGAGCGGAAATGGGAGTCCATGGGCCATATGACAGGGGCATCCGGGCCGTCTGCAGTAAACAGAATAAAGAAACATGGGTATCATCAGAGTTAAAGGGCAGCTCATGGCTTGCAGAAGGCTGAGTAATCCCCTGAGCCTTGTCACAATTTTGTTTTAAAAGCATCAGTGAGGCTAATGGTGTAGCTCAGTGGTAGAGCACTTGTCTAGTATACACAGTGCATGCACGTGCGCGCGTGCGCACGCACACACACACACACACACCCACACTCTCTCTCTCTCTCTCTCTCTCTCTCTCTCTCTCTCTCTCCAACATAACCCCCAGCACTCACTGAATCTTGGACATTCAGCTGCTTTCCCTATCACAGGTGGTCAATGCTGAGTTTGTCCAGACGGCAGTAGTGCCTGCTCTTCTCTTCCTGGCTCAAGGCTGGGCCTGCGTGGATGTGCCTGGCACCGGACATCATGGCCAGTCTGTTTTCCAGGGGGTGAAGGTCTGTACTCCACCTGTGAGGGACTGGCTATCCTGGTCTCCAGCCCTGTGTGTGGAGCTGGTAACAGGGCCCAGGGAGGAACAGAAAGTACTCACAGAGGACATTCAGCGTCACTGGGTCACTGCGGTTGGCACTCAGCGGGTTCCGGGTCTCACATTCATAGAGTCCTGTGTCATTCCTTCTCACACGGCTTAAAGTGAGCGTTTTGTTGTTCTTCGACAGCTTCAGTCTGTCACTGTCTGGGAGGCTCTGGCCATTTCTCCACCACAGGTAAGTTGTGTTCTGAGTGTCTGGTTTACACGTTAGTGATACTGCGTCCTTACCTTCTACAGGTTTGGAGTTGTTGCTTGTGATGAAGGGTTTGGGTAACATCCCTGTGTAGACAACAGAGAGAAGATTGTGCTGTGAGATACCTGTGATCCCACCAAAGATATCTCCCCATCAGAATTGGTCTCTTTCACCTCCCAGACAACCCGAGTCCTTAAAGAACCAGACAGAGAAGCATCTCCCAGGCAGAGGCACAAGGATCTGAGTGCTCAGAGGAGGTAGGGCCCCATGGGCTGTGTCTGGAAGAAGCATAGGTTTTCTCACATGTAGCTTAAGCTGAAGTGTTTGACCACAGATATACCCAGGAGTAGGAGTCAGACTCTCTTTGTGCCTCTCCTGGTCCTCACTTCTCAGCTGCCTGGTTTGCCTTGGGTCATGTGGTGTGTACTCTCAGAGGGCTTGCTCAGCCGAGGTGTGTTTTCTCTGAGGCTTTGCTCGACAAGGCTGTCCTAGAGATGGGTCATGATGGAACATCCCATTGGTGTTAAACCACGAGACCTCTTAGCCTGCCTTGAGGGCCAGATATGTGAGCAGAAATAGCACACAAGGGGACCAGGAGCAGGCCCAACATTTAGCTCAGTGGTCAATTTGGGGCCTCAAGCTGGAGCAATTCTGCTGCCATATTTGATAGTGAGTGACATGAGCCAGTGACATTTCAACAGCATGAATCCTAGGAACGATCTAGGAAAGAATCATCTTGTAGAAAATTCATATCTCTGTCCTTGGTTTTTAACATCCCTTCTCCCACAGCAAAGGGCGGGTGAAGACCACGTCAGTCTTTCCTAAAATACAGTTGGACAAATGACTGGTGGAAGGGGAGGAGCATGAACATGCTGCAGCTCCGGCCCTCTACCACGGTCCATGTGTGCCTGACAGGCCTGGGATAGAAATTTGAGATTACATTTCTTCCATATGTAAAAGCTGTTATTGAGGCACAGAATCTACCACTCATTTCTGAAAGGAATACTTGTCAGGACACCACAATAAGGTCTTTGGCTCTGCAGATCACATTATGATCAAAGGCCAGTGCTCATGTTGGTTTTGAACCAGTGACTCACTGAATAGAAAGAGACCTCTGAGTCCTGATGGCAGAGCCGGTCAGCGGGGGAAGACTGAGTTGTCTCTGTTGTATAAAACAAGGGACAATACCAAGTTCACAGAAATATTTTCTCGTGTTACTCCGTTCAGAAAAAATCTGTGTCCCCAGTTGTATAGAGAGTGAGGCAAAGTGCAGAGAACCTAGCACGGACGTGTGAAATTATTTCTTCCTTCTTTTGACACTCCAGGAAACACAACTAGAGTTTTGTTAAATTCTCCCAGACAGACACTGACACATCTCACTGTGTGTGAGGACCCACCCCGTGATGACAGTGTCATCACGAGGGCACAGGTGCATGTGGCACAGGCAGCCAGCCCATCAGACACACCTGCCAGGTGAGCTCCCTCGGGGAAGGTCTGCGAGTCACCAAAGGGATGTGAGCCCCACGTGGGGACCTGGATGACTCAGAAGTGAAACCAGTGGAATGAGACCAGGCCTTGTGGCTTGCAACTCTGTTCGGTTGCCTCTGATCCCTGGCTGAGTCAGTGTGCAGAGTTGGCAGAGGAGGCCGTGGGCCCTGTCTCATGGCCTATTCTGCGAGTTGGCATCAAAGAAAAAAAGAACTTTGATGGGGACACAGTGGAGACCTGTTCACAGTGGGGGACATTGGCTCCTGATGGAACCTGGCAGGGGGCAGCTGCTTTAACTGATTTCTTTGCCCTTTAGCATTCCCTGGGGCATGGGTCTGCCCCCAGGCATTGGTGGAAGGGAGCAGGTTGCTCAGGCTTCAGTCCAAGAAGGTAAAGGTGCAGCAAGCTGTGCAGCGAAGCTGTGGGCCCACACGGAATGAGGGGAAGGAAGACGAGGGACACGGAAGGAGCGGGTATAACCAGAAACATCCATGGCAGTGAGCAGTGGTGTTTCAGCGACTTCAAAGATTCCAGAGACCAAGAGCCCCATGGTTGCCTCAGAAATGAACTAGATCATGACCCTGAACCCCCACCCCAGCATCGCAGCCCCAGGGTCATCATGTGATGTGACTCGTGGGTGACCTTAGGAGTACGTGGTCAGACTGATGGAACAAGGTCTCAGCACCCAGAAGGGACGAGGATTAGGTGCGGTCAGATCCTCCTAGGACTCTGCATGGAGTTCACAGCCTCTGAAGAACTTCTAGGTTACTCGCGCACTCATTCATTTGTTCGTTCATTCATTCATTCATTCTCTCCTTCATCACACAGTAATTGGCAATTAGTTGCACACTGGCTCCTGCACCAGTTGCAGTCTAGTGGGCAGGGACAAAGCTAAGTCCCCTGCTTTACATTTTAGTTCTTGACAACCAACATCCCACAAAGTATGTGATTTCGGGGTAGTGAGGATGGGTGTGGGTTAGCCACCTGGTGAGGGATACCTGGAAGTTCTTCCACTGAACTGGAGTCGATGTAGGTGATTTAGTCCCAGAATAAAATATGATTATATCTGTCTGTCATTTCTCAGACCAAACATCCTCCAATGTTTGCTCCAAGCTGTTAATGCTTAGGGGGAAAAAAGCTGATGGATGACTGGTTTTGGATTCCATGTATGTCTGATAAGGTAGTGATGGGTTATATCTGTAAACAGATGTCTTGGGCCCCTGATATGCAATCCGTTGTGTGTGTCACTGATTCAGTAATTGTGCTCCCTTGTGATTCAGTTATTTTTAGTAAAATTGTACAACGTGTATGTAGTATCTGGCTACACGTTATTTCTGCATCACCTTAAAATATTCACAATCATATGACCTAAAGCTTGATAAAGAGGATCTGCCCCCAAATCCAGCATCTGTGATAGTTTGTCCCCACAAGGAATACTAGGCCTGATCCTACTTGGACAAGGCACTGCTAGAAAACTCTCCTCTCCTCTGTTGCTGTTCCTCCCTACGCAGTCTCCTCAGTCCATCAAGGTAGAAGCTTGATGTCCTAGGCAACAAGTGTCAGGTGGAAGACTAGGTCTGGCCTCACCCGGATGTGGCTCTTAGGGCTGAGCTCTGCAGGTGACCAGTTCCGGGAGCTCTGAAGTCTGCACAGCATGACAACTGCTGCTCCCCATCGGCCCTGATGAGGAAATCAAAGTCCGTTCAGGTCACAAGTCCCCCAGGGTCACCTGGAGTTGGGAGCCTGGGATAAAGGTCTGGGGCCAAAAATTCTTGGAGCTGAACTCTTCTTCAGAATCCCAGAGGACCTCTATTCAGGATGTGAAGTTGTCTACCAAGGCCAGGTTGATGGGGGAGGTTCTGGGGTGAGACTGAGCTAGTCCCTCAACAGACTGTCCTCTCTGCAGTGTGGATTGGGGGAAGGATTCTGATCCACTAAAGTTTATCTCCACGGTGTGAGCCCTGCACTCAGTGCTCAATCTCTAATATGCGGACATAATGCAGAAGGGAGGGAGGCATGGTGTAGGCCCGATAATCCTGTGTGTGTGAAGTAGAATTAACCCCACCCCTTCACCCAGAGGCCACAGAAAGTCACTCACGGTATACTTGGACCTGTCCAGAGGCTTGCTGTACCTGACGAAATGTGTTTACAGTTAGTAACGTGTAGAATCCAGTGTCTTCCTGGGTGACGTTCTGGAAGAGCAGGGATCCGTTTGGGTATATTGTTTCTCGACCACTGTATGCAGAGCCTGGTTTAAGCGCTTGAGTGGATATCACATATGCGGCAATTCTATGGCTGTTGGCTACGCTCGCCCCTTTGTACCAGCGATAGAGTCGAAGATTCTCGGGCAGATTGTAGACAAGTAGAAGAACATTACCGCCTTCAGCAGTAACGAAGGGCACAGTTTCAACAGTGAGGTGGGCAGCGGTGGGTGGGCTCCAGAAGGTTAAAAGTGAGGCTAGGAGGGAGGAGAAAGAAGTCCATCAACACTGAGATCTTCCTATTTGGATATTAAGATGGGGTCCTGTGTCCTGAACAGGTGTCGTCCTCCCTCAGCCGTGGGTGCTCTCTCGTGTGTGTGCTTTTGTGTGTCGGTAGCATTTGTGTATATGTGCATGTCAATATGTGTTCTCTAGTGGGTTCTTTCAAGCCCTTGGACTTGTCATTTCCTGTCTGGAAGACTCTTTCCCAGATGTCAGTGCAGCTCGTCCCTCACTGCCCTCAGGTCTCGGCTCACACCCAGGACATCCCGGGGAGATAACTTCCCTGACTGCATCCTGTAGAGACCATGCGGCTTCACCTTCTCACCTTCCTCTGCTCTGTTCACTTCATGGCTCTTGTCAATACCTCCCTCCCCTTCTGGATGTCCCTGTTCATCTGTCCTCCTGATCACTAGGGCAAAAGCTCTGTGAGGACGGGGACCAGCCTGATCTCTGTTGGAGGCCAGTGGCTGGAATAGATGTAGATACCCGTGGGCCCTGTATGTGCAGGGTTTTTTGCAGAGCCAGATTCTGAGCTTGCTGATTAAGAACCGTGTTAATGCTTCCGTTGCATTTCTGTAAGGAGTGTCTCATGGACAGAGCTGTTCATATCAATTTTCACAATACAGTGCCCTCTAAGGACTGACCTATAACAGAGTACATGAGCTTTTTCTCCCGTTTATCAATTCCAGTTCACTGAGAGTTTTTCTGTTGCAGACACATCTGTTCCTCTTTTGTGTCCTCTACCTTCAGGGTCCAAGCAGAAGCCCTGTGCCTACTCTCAGGGTCTTATCCTCCCCAGCCAGTCTCTGTGCTCATATCCTCCTATCCACTACTGGGAAATCATCACCTCTTACCTGTGAGCAGGAGCCCCTGCCAGGGAATGCACCTTCTGCTGGAGAGGCCAGAGGATGGCTTCATTGTCTCTGTTGCTTGCTCTGTCTCTCCTATAAGAAGCGTTTTGCCCCCGGAAAAGCTCCAAAGCAAGGCTTCTCAGGTGTGTTGGGTCTGCTGTTGTTCCTCCCTCTGAGCCGAGCTCCTCCCAAGGCAGGAGCATTTCCCAGGGTCATATGGTCTGGGGGTGGCCTCTGTCCAGGGCACTTCTGTCTCCTCCCTTCTCAGTGCTGCCTCCCATCCCTTTTCCCCTTCTCCTGTGTGATCTTTCAAGATCCAGACCACACTTTTAGAAACAAGGGAGAAGGGGTCCTTGTCCTTGACAGGGTGGTAGGGTCGCCCACTACACGCCTGGGCTGTGTCTTAACCTTGGGGTTGTCAACACCGCATGGAGCATCTAGGGACCTCAAATACAGGGATGTGTTTCCTTTGTGACACAGAAATCAGTTTGGAGCTCAGTCTTCCCTGTGTTTGAAATATTCTGGGTAGATGGGATTCACTTCTAGCAAGGGAGAGACAGAGGTGGCTGCAGAGGCCAGAAAGGGCTCAGTTGAGTGAGGACTGGTGAGGGAGACCTGTCCTCGAGATCTACTGTCAGCAACCTTACCTCAGATCCTCCAGGGGCAGGGAGCCAGAAACAGCTGTCTCAGAAGGGTCTGCAGATCCTGAGTGTGCAGCGGGAGGTGACATGTATGTTGTGGTGGTGGGAGATCAGATGGCCATAAGCTGTGTTGTCTTTTGTAGAAAGTTTTAGGGATTTCTTTTCTGTCGGTGTGTGCTGGCCAAGCTGTTGGTCAGTCCTGCGCATGTCCTCCGTGAGCAGTTTCTGTGTTCTGCCTTGTTGACTCTTAATGGTCACCCTGCCGCCTTTCACATGAGGGTTACCAGGACGGGGATTCCCAGGGACACAACGTCATTGTCAACATCAATCATACCAATTTGGATAAAGATTTGTTTCTACACCTGGTTCAGGTGGGGGTAGCCTGCTTACAATATAAGAGAGGGAAAGAGGTTTGCTCTCTCTGCCGCTCCTCCCTTGTGCTCTTGCTGCTTTTGCTGTCTTCCACTGCCATGAACAGTTGCCCTGTGCCATGTGCCACTCTGCCTTGGAGCCAGCCTGATCTCTGTTGAAACCTCCACAAACTGTAAGCTAAATAAACCTTTCCTTCCTTCATTTTGGGTGTTGGGTATTTTGTCTCAGCGGTGAGAGAAAAGTAACCAAGACACACATGCTTCCCTGGCTGAGCTTCCTCAGTTCTGTTCCTGAGCTCCCATCCAGAGCCTAGCTTCATGTCTGCAGCCCCAGGTCCTATATCAGCACTTTGCTTCCGTAACACTGGGCAGCTCTGACTGGCCACCTCTCCTGACATTCACCAGGTCTTCAGAGTGCCTTTCAGCAGACCTCTGTCCCCAGCAGGGTGAGTGGCTGGCTGAGGCAAATTCCCGCCCTCCTGCTCAACTGTGTGAGCAGCTCTGAAGCTCTGAATCCTTATCAGCAGTCAGCCCTCAGGAGGAAGAAACAGCTGAGCAGAGGCGGATCCTGGGACCACTATCAGCCACCCTGTGTGTCAGCATATCCCCTTAGTGTGGGCCCCAGCGAATCACTGAATTCGACAGTTTATGTGACAGTAGTTGTTTTGTGGGACTTTCATGTAAATAGGAAATATGAGGATGTTTTTGTATTTTTGTGGACCCAGCCTTTTGAATTTGGAACTACGAGTTCCTCCTGGATGTCATTCATTGTCAACATCAATCATACCAACTTGGATAAAGATTTGTTTCTACACCTGGTTTAGGTTGGGGTTGGGTAGCTCTCTCAGCCTGGCCTAAGGATCCTCTGCCTGTGCATTTTCTGTAAGGAGATGTGCCCTTGTTGGGCAGAATGCTCCTTCTTCCCTGGGCATGATATATCTGCTCTCGACCTCAGCAGCTCTGCAGCGCCCTACCAGCTCCGAAAACTCCATTCAAGGCCTGTCTCATTACCCACAGTGGTCTCTGAGCTGACCGTCCCAGAACATCAGCCAAGTCATTTTCTGTGTTTAATCCTAATACCTGCCTGGTGCTGTCCAAGATCTTCCAGGGCCCTGGTGTGTGTGTGTGTGTGTGTGTGTGTGTGTGTGTGTGTGTTTCACAGCACTTGTCCACACATTCAGTCTGTGAGTGAGAAAACTAAAAGTCTTTCAATTGATATTTATTTAAGAATTCAAGGAGGAGGACCTATGATCATAATAAATGAACTTATAGTACTTATAATAAATGGTGGTTTCTGTTATAGGTGGGTCCTCTGTCCTCCACTGTTAATTTCTTCCTTTCGTTAGATGACACATCTATGTGCTTTGCCTCTGATCTTGGAATTCCACCCATTAGAAGAGAAGCAGATCTTCTGCAGCGGGGTCTGGCCATGAGACTTACATAAACTCATGGGCTGCCGGGGAAGCATCTGGGACAGTGCGGGTCGCAACAGGGAGCCAAACTGCTGAGTCTAAGCAACAGCTCTGTGAAGACAAGGGCGTAACTTGTTGAGAGAATGAAGAAAATTTCCAAATATGGCTCGGGAGATATAAAGTTATTTTTAAAGGCTAACACCTACGAACAAGGAGGATTGAGTTAATTGATACTTAATAACAAAGATGGAGCGCTGGGGATGTGGCTCAGTGGTAGAGCTCTTGCCTTGCATGCACAAGGCCCTGGGTTCGATGCCCAGCATTGCATACATAAAAAGACCAATAATAATAATAATAATAATAATAAATTAAAGAATAATAAAGATGGTCCAAGAAAAGGGCGTACAGCTCTGACAGCACTCTTTGGAGGGTGCTCAAGGGGTGCAGCACAACAAGACACTTCGGCAAATCCTAGGATAGTGTTTACTTTGCAGCAGCACTGCTCTGCCAAAGCCGGGGCTCATGGACTCTACCCAGCAGCCCTGACATTCACACAGCGTGAATACCTAACAATAGCGTGATCCAGGAGGTACCGTGATGAGAGGCTGAAAAGCATTTGCCAGGAATACCTTAGAGGGTCCAGCTTCAGCTGGATTACAGCACTCTCCCTTTCTATAGCGTTCTGTTCATCATGAATTACGATAGGCAGCGGGTTTATAGATCAGCGTACAAATGTGACGTCATGAGCTTATTTTGTTCCCCCGTAGGACCAGCATTTCAAGGAAGAGATTTAGCACACCGGCAGGAGGACAAGTTTTACAGATAACATTAGGTTTCCCCATTCCCAGTGTGTTGTCGAAAACATTGATCAGGACAGTCTGATCTTGGCTGGTTTACAATAATGTCCCTTTGACTTGGCCAGAGTCTTGGGATCAAGGGACGTTTTAAGATATGGTTCTAAAAGCTTCATTTCCCACCCCCCCCCAACAATGATACCCTCCATCTCTTATGTGTCTGAATGTCTTTTTTTGTGTGGAGGGGTGTTTGGTTTTTTTTCCTTTACCAGGAATCGAACTCCCGACCTCGTGCTTGCCAGGCAGGCACTGTGCCACTGAGCTAAATCCCCAGCCCCATGTGTCTGACTGTCTTCACCATCTTATCAGGTCCATCTTTTGCAATGTCTTTCAAGGGGTACATTAAAATGTACATACATTTTAACTGTGTTTCACAATAAATTATAAAAAGAGGAATAAGTTATAACAAGCCCTGCTATAAAAGCAAGAAAAATGAATAAAATATATCCTTAAGTAGAGGTAGAGGTTTTAACCAACCATGTAGAAACAAGGTAGACACTAAGTTTATTGATAGCTGTGGGGTTGTTGGTAACCCGTGAGAATTACCAAGAAGAAATGCACTGCATACATATTATTTTGTGAGGGCACAGGCGTCTCATCGTGACACACTCAGCCACCTGGATCTTCAAACACAGTGTACTGCCGTCCTGTTCCCCTATCAATGGCATCATGCTTGGTGCCATTAACAGAAAGCAAGTTAATTTTTAATTTCATAGAGCAGCTGTACAGCTCTGCCTGTGAACTTGTTCTCACCTGTAAACATCTCAAGATCTCCAATGATAACATTTATGGAACAGACAAAAATTAACTCCAGGTGAATTTGTTCTTATGAAAGAGTTGTTTTGTAGTACTTGTCAGGAACTCAGATGTTAGAACCTTATCTCCCTTTTCCCCCACAATCTCCTTAGCTATTTTTTTAATGGGGCTGACACAACTGATTTCATGTTGATTTTTGATAATTTCTTACTTTCCCTATCTTTTCTCTTTTTTCCCTTTCTTTTTATCTTTGTGAGTCTTCGCGAAGTCTTCACTGACTAATAATCTTGAAGTTACATTTTTTCTGTACCTTCTAGCTGTGGAACTGTTCTGATTGCTGGTCTCATTTTATGCCATGTTGGAAGGGAATTGATTGACAATTGAGTGTCAGAATGAAAACTGTTTTAGTTACATTCAAGCAAGGGGCTTAGAAGGAGCAGCTTTCATGCTAAGTTTACCTGGACTGTATGGGCTTGTTTAACCTCCGTTTTTGTAGGGGGTGGTCAGTATCTGAAAACACTGGATTAGAAGTCTTTTCTGGGAGTGAGGTTCTACAGAATTTCAAGAGACAGCATTACAAATCTCTACAAGGAAAACACAAAACAAAACAAAGAAAACAAATTTAACATACATAGTTGTTTTGAGCAGAGATACCTGATTTTATCTGTTATACGGACTTTGACCAAGATAATCAATGAAGGGACCAATTTGTTAGTAGTACTTTTTAGAATCCTTTTTATGAATCTGATGGCAAACGCTCTGGAGAAATATCAAATGTGTGGATAACAAAGGACTTAGAACAAGTATGGTTACAATTTAGGTGATTATAGCAGTTAATTAAAAATTCAGTTGCTTTATTTTTGTAGTTGTTTAAGACAACCAGTATGATTGATATTATTATATCAGGATGATTGAGATGTGCCCTATTTATAGATGTACTCTCTAGGTGATTAATGGTAGATCCATTTAGTTATCAGAGTGGCATTGTCTTTAACAGGTCTACACAGCTTAACAAAACAGCATTAACAGAAATCAAGAAATAGCTTTACCTCTTTATAAGTTTAAGAAAGAGCATTAAAAATGATAATGAATAGACCAATTACCCATACATATTCAATAACAAAATTCTTTTTTTGGGGGGGTGGTTTTCTGGTACCAGGAATGGAACTCACAACCTCGCGCTTGCCAGGCAGGCGCTGTGCCGCTGAGCTAAATCCCCAACCCCTCAGTAACAAAATTCTTCTGTAGTCACAGCAAGTAGATACAGAGTAGGTTCCAAATAGCGGGATTCCTCATGAAATTCTGCAGAGCGTGATGATACATAGCAGTAACTACAGCTGCTCTAGAGGAGGAGGCAGAAATATTGCAAATCAAGACCAGCCTGGACAATCTAGTGAGGCCCTGTCTCAAAACAAAAACTAAAAAGCATTGGCATG